TACTATCTGATTTTTATCACCAAATCCTAAACTAATGCTTACGCATATATTTTTGCCGACAATTTTGAAATATTCAGTGACAGAAAATTGGCACATGCACTTTGCCTAACCTGAAACAATCGACTCAACAATTTTCGAAAAATTATGTAATTTGATTTATTTGATTTGATGTGAAAACAATTTATCTCAGTTTCTCAGCACATGCTCCACAAAAAATTAATTTTTTTTTGCCATTTATTTGTATTCAACATGTAAAATGTTTATGGTTGAGATTTTTTCAGCAGACTCGAATAAAATTTCGTGCATATCACTGTGTTTTCTCAACCCTACATTAGTATAAAAACTTTGCATATATATTCAATGAGTTTTCGAGAAACGTCTTTCATATGAATATCATGAGATGGGCCGTCAAAAATTAAAGTTGACTTGTTTTTGGATTTCTTCCGAAAGACGCTCCTTTTGTGAATATCGAATTTATTCCATACATTTGCATCGTACTGTATATCAAAAATACGTCAGTACAAAGATCTACAGATGCATTTTATATTTGAAAATAGATTTGTCGATACGTCTGACTATAATATACTCAGCATCATTCTATTAGTTGTTTTGAAATATCGGAAGACATAGTTCATTTCCACCACTGTATATTTCACTAAAAGTTTTGATTCAAAATCTTCTTGAAATTCGATTAATTTTCGTCGGAGATGTTCATAGAAGCTTGGTTGTGGTCATAGTAAAACAATCGATTTAAACAATATAAATTTTATTTATAATAAAGTGATATACAGTATACGTATAACAATGATTTTACTTCATCATTTTTCATAAAACAAAATGTATTACAGTTTTGATGGACAACAACAATTTTTATGCTTGTATATATCAGTATTGTTCAGTCGACCATAATTGGTCATGACATAATTGTTTACGGATTATTCTACTATATTAGAAAGGTGAAATATTCTTTCATATTCACATCATTTGATTACAAGTTGATTCATGATCAAAATGGACGGGGAAATCATGTCATATTTACGAATAGAGACTGAGTGATTTGTTGCTATAATATCGTGCACATGACAAGAGTGATGTAAAATAATATTCTACTAAAAATTAACTGAGGAGGTCCTTGCAAATATTTCGAAATGGAAATGAAAGAATATGAAAATAATACCTTTTCTGTAACTAATAATCTATATTCAATTTATTTCTACATTTTGATTACTATTACATTCAATTGTATATAAACAATTTCAAAAATTATTAGCACATATTTACAAAAATCTGATTATGTACAAATATTCATCAAACTTACTAACATCATTGCTCGAAAATTGGTAAAATATTTCACCAGATTCATTTATCACAGTATCAAAAATTTTCCAAATCATTGAGCCTTAAGGCTATACGAGTTTCGCATCATCCCTTCTTTTTTGATTATATTTTTGATCATGGGACGAATTTTGAAATTTATAATTAAACCGCAGATGCAGTAGTAAGTTTGTATTTGTATTCAGTGATATATGTATTGCACCATTCCCAACCACCACAGGAGTAGATATATACAAAAATTAAAGAAAAGCCGAACAAAAGGATGTCCTACTGCTAAATGAATTTCTAAATGGTTTTCATTTAGAAAACACACTAAAATACATCGGTAATATCAAACAATTCTTGAGCCTATATATATACGTTATGTACAAAATGATTGACAAATATTGCCATTGCTTTTCAACATACAGCCAATCACTTCAGATTTTCCGGAAAGTATCACACAAAACATTTAATGCAATGCATCGGTTTGGAAGGCATCAGATACTGGCGCTACCATCCACGCCAAGCCAAACCTAAAAATGTTTTTTATTATGACTGACTATTGAAATATTGAAGAAGATATAATGAAAAATATTTTAAAATTTTTGCTATGAATAATTGAAAATAGTTTCGAGAATGAAAAAATGAAAATAGTTGGGTTACTTTCAAAGAGAAGAGAGGAAAAGTATGGAGGAACAATACTATTCAGTAGATTTCTTTTGACCTTGATTACAATTTCATTAGTTCTTGCTTGCATATACCTAAAATAAGTCCGCTGGAATCATTGAATTCAAAGTAGGAATGGAAACAAAGTCACTTGGGAGATTGTAACTGATATATGAGAATCATATATCAGTACATCGCATATGAATTTTTTGATAATAGTAGACTTTACATCGGTTCAGGCAGGCAGTGACGTCATCACGCCAGTCAGGTTGCCTCTCAGCTCAGCTGTCACCCAGCAAGCTAGGCGGTGAACCAATCAGAGTATACCAAATTGTCACGTAGCATTCTCAAACTGTCACCTAGCTCGCCAGTCAATCACAGCGCACGCTTCTGCATCTAACATCGTGGCGGGAGATTTGAATTTTCTGTGGACATAAATAATTCAAGCAGACTACCAGGCATATTCCACGAGTCAGACGACCAGTCACATGACGCGCTTACTTCAGCCCATCTTTTTGCTCAAAAAGAAAGTTTCGTTGGAGAATTGAACGCAGGTCGTTGGTGTGATAGACTTGATCGTTAGTCTTGACCCCACCGTTAGATATTGAAAGAACTGCGAACTGTTGATAGTGATGGATTTTCGTCATTAACACATTGTGAATTGTAATTATGATCCCTGTTCAGTAAAACATATTTATTTTTGTTCGAAGTTGCATTGGGAGAACAACTATGACAGAGCTGGAAGTGACTTGTCACACTTACTCTGGCAGCAATAACCATTTGGTTGCTTCTGATGAAGCAAATTTTCATAACATCTCAATAACAATTGCCTATCAGCAGTTATAAAACCATCTTTGATCAAAATGAATTGCCTTGCATATCATATCAGATGCAGAAATAACCAGACTGTCCAAGTATTTTCAGGATGAATTCATTTATACTACTCAAAGAATTTCAATGAGATTTAATTATTTGGTAGGTTATCTCATAATGGCAAAGAGTTTTAATTTGAAAATTCAAATAGTGTCACCGCAAAGCGGCAGTACTGATATAATTATAAACTAATTCAGAATAATTTGAATGAAGCTTGAAAAACATTTGGAAGTGTCCCATAGTGAGACAATATGATATCAACATTGGAAATGAAATCACCTGTCATAGGCACTAATTTCAATGAATATTACTGGAGTTTAATACCAACACCAAACCGTTACTTTCAAGAAGAAGATTAAACTAGTTCAATTTTACTCTTGAAGATGATCACTTGGTGATCGAAACTCGGGTCGAAGTGTGAAAATAACAGTTTAGTGTCGGGATGAAACTCCAGTGCACATTACTATACCAAAGGTTCCAAACAGTGCACAACAAGTAGTAATTTCTACAATGAAATTATTGAGACACTGAAATTTTCGTTATCGAATGAGTTACGAATGAAATATCGATCATATTTGATCAACCGATTTTTTACTTTATAAACAGTGCACAACAAGTAGTAATTTCTACAATGAAATTATTGAGACACTGAAATTTTCGTTATCGAATGAGTTACGAATGAAATATCGATCATATGTGATCAACCGATTTTTTACTTTATATTTTATGCATATAATGTCTTTCTAATCTGGAAAAAAATTTCTGAATATTTTTGACCAAGGAAACATGTAATTATTTTGCAGTCGATTATTGAAATCTTCTTCTCAATTTTTGATTGATAGCTTCTCTTGTGTAATTATTTAGATATGACGTAGAACTATTCATGAGAATATCACAATATTCTAATAAACTGAAACGTTTTTTTATTCTGTCAGTTTGAGATACGATTAGTGAATAACGAAGAAAGCATTTTATTTTATAAGATTATTTTTCCAGTTATAGTTACTAATTTGCCTTCACTTTGATTTTAACAACTGGTGATCATCAATATAAAAAAAACTGTTGCATTGTAGATCATTTCAAACTGATCATGATTCTGAAAGTGGCAGTTATTTTCAAATTTCATCCTGTAATGTTAAAGAAATAGTTTTGATGAAAGTATAATCTACTAATTCCACAAGTCATTTTGTTTTAGACTTGTTGATCATTTGAGATAATTTCAAACTATAGCCTATAAGCCGTTATGTGGAGAATTTTCTTTCTAATTGTTTCTATTGCGGCGATTGAACCATATCATTAGTCCTTCTGTTTTACTTACATCGTACCATACAACTTTTCATTCACATCTCAACTATCGCGCAGTGTTATGGAAAAACTCTGCCTGATCTATTACGGTTTTTCCACTTGAAAAAAGGCAGACTGGTGTCAACTACCATGCTTATTCTTCTTTTATAAAATGGAGGATATTACCCCAACCCTGTTTTTATATTGATCAAGCTGTAGCAGAAATTTACACGAAAATCGTAAACTTCTCTACCATACATTTGATGATCATATCACAAGGTCTTCTGAGAAACTAGGACCTTCCGAAGTAAAACTCTCTGTGTCTCAACAAAATAATTCTCAGATTGTTAATACTGATGATAAATTGTCACTGGAAATGAAATGTTTTGAAAATCTTCTGATAGTTTTTTTTATTTCGATGAAAATTTATTCACCATGTTATATTGAATACTCACCCCAAACTCTGCAACATTTTTGGGTTTCATTATTCCAATCTTCACAACTAAGTTTTCATGAATTTCTCTTTTCATCATTTCTTCTTAGACTTATTTAAGAAGACAAGTGACTTATGGATAGCCCAGTTTCTTTTCGAGAAAAATATTATATTGGAATCACTCATTCTAAAGTTTGCCCCTTCTACACCTTTATGCGAAACAAAGGGTCAACAGAAAAAATTTGAGCAATGTTCAATTTTTTTGAGAAACTTGGCGATTTCTCAATGTTATCAACAGTCAATCTAATTGTCATTTTTCAGTATTTTGATCCGACATTTTCCTTTTCCTATTTATATTTTCATTTTTCGAAAATATTGTCAAAATAGTTTCATCAGGCATTACTTGAAAATATATTAGTATAAATATGAAATTCTTCCATATAAATGAAATATTACAATAAAACTCACACATGCATTACTAAATTAAAAAAAATAATAAACATTGTTTTGTCTGAAGCGAATGGCTCATATGTTTTCTAATATGATTATATAAAACAATTAGACTAGTATGAATACCAACTATAAAAATAATTTTTTATACCTATAAAAAAATCAATTTGGCAATTGGATAACAATTATATTGAACAAGATGATACTTTGAAAATTATTCTAAAATGAGTGAAGCAGCTCTATCGGTGCTGGGGTTAGTTTTTCGAAGTTTTATTGTAGCGAAATTGTTAGACCTGCAAGAGAATCAATACCATCAGAAATTTCAAAAAATGTGAAGAAAAACAGGCATGAAGTTTAGTAGGCATGACAAAAAGTTAGTTATCGAAAATGAAAAATTAACCTGTTTGGATTGATCTGGAACTCTAATATCTGATCTGAGTTTTTAACTCACCTGAAAGTTCAACAAAAGTTATCTTTTTATGGTTATGGAGATAACGTTGCATTGTGAATGATGAATAACGTATATAAAGATTATAAGAAGTAGGATACTATTTTGGAAAGAAGACTTTTTGTCCATCTTCTCCTCTATCTTCATACAAGAAGTGTGAGAAACTTCCGAAGGGAGGAAAAAAACAATCAACCACATTCTCTTTACGAAGACAGAAAAGTGAAATTAGAAGGTCAAAAAGTTTATTTTCTCTCCTGAAAAGTATATTCAATTTGGAACCTTCATAATTCATAGAGCACTGATTATTAGTCAGGAAATTCCAGAAGATAATGAAATACAATAAAAACAAATTGAAGTGAAACAAATGAATAAATAGTTCGAATCATCCCACTAGATACAATTGCTGGAAATCTGGAGATCATAATGTGAGTTCATTTATCATATTCCATAAAATCATTCTAAAATATCACAAATATGAAAGTGATCGCAGATGAAATAAGATCACTGTTATTCATAAACTGTGGAACCAAGTTCCCGATTTTAGTGAACATAATAAAACCTAGCTCACACCGCATAAAATCTAGATTTCTCCAATGATACGTTATACTTACGCCGCCTAGCGTCAATAAAACCAAAAATTTATAGACTTCAGTTTTGCAGATGATGTCATTTCATATTGAACTTCATTTACAGTTCTCCAGAACTATGAAGTTGGAAACTACAAAGACCAGATGATGAAATTACAGTGCAATTTTTCATGTAATATTATATTTTCATTCAATTCACTGCATTTTTTGGTATGCTTTCAGTTTTATATAATCAGCATTCAGTTCATAATATAATATTCGAATTATAATAAACAATGCCTCAATGAAATGAGACTTTTTATCATAAACTTTTTCCATCCACTCTTCAACTTCAACTCCAGTGAACGACCTCTTTCCTGTATATTTTTTCCAAACAACAGCGATGTTCATATGAATTTGAATTTACGTCCTATTTTGCCTCATCTTGAAAGCTGATTATATACCGAGGATTGCGTTCACCGTGGGGTGGATACCACCACTTTTCGGGGGTAAATGTTTCATTAGAAATAACTCCGAAAATGAGTAGACATACCATCCTGTTTTTTTTTGAAAGTCAATATTTCTCAACTAATTCGCGGGTGATAGTGTCAACTTTTCACCAAAAAAAGCTGTCTTCAGACGGATTTTCAAAAATTGTTGAAATCATTCTCAGTAAAAATATGGCTTATAAAAACAAATCATCTTAAAGAACAATTCGTTCAGACAAGTCTCAACTCCTTACACTGTAAGTTAATAGACTAACACCTATCAGAAAACAACTACTCCCATGGCTAATACCACGAAGAGCGTTGGATTATATCCGACAGGTGTCAGTGCAGGATTCTTCACTGAATTTATTCCTGCAAAACTGGACAATTCATATCGGTAAAACTTCTAGAGCATATTATAAGTACATCAATTATGTGATTTGTAAAACGGTAACATATATTTGCAATTGAAGTGTTTATTAGGGAGTGATTCTCACATTTTCTTCATCACGACTTGCTTGATTCGAAATTTTTATGAAAAACAAAAATGAAGGTTCGTTCATTCAAGCATCAAGGGAAATTTTGGCATTCGACAAATCAGAACCAACTTCCAACGAGCTGTTACTCCGTTCGTGTTAGGTCTCCAGATATAATTAATCCACCATTTTATTTCTTCTTCTTTGAGTCAGATCATTAACGAGAATGATTTTTCTCAATGAAATGCATTGCTTTTATTTGATCATTCGCGGAAGACCTTTTAAAATCGTGGGTTCATCAGTGAAAAGTTATTCAAAAATACATTCTCAACAAATTGTTCGTTAGTTTGGAAATGAAGATATATGATAACTGAAATCTGAAGTCACCCAAGATGGGATATGTAGAAAGAAATTAGTCTTAGGTGGGTTTTTAGTGAACTTTAATTTGCTGGAATTTCAAATCAAACAGCTATTGCAGAATGTTTGTTATAAACATTGAAGGGAAGCGTTGTGAAAATTGACGTATATTCATAACCTAGTATCAAATATATCAAGAGTATCTAGTGGTCCACTTCGATACCCCTTGAAAACTTTGGCTGAAAATGTATGTTCTATAATCATGTACTTCGACGAATTATCAAGATAGATCATGCATTTTTTGTTTTCTGAGGTTAGAACCATAAACCCGACCCTTGAACATGCAGTTAAAAATTACATTCATTTCCTTCTTGCTGTCCCAGTAGAATCGAGACCCCACAGATCGTACCAGGGCCCGTACATATTTCCGTTATGCGGTGATTTCTCATCAAATTTTGAGTTATATTCGGGATTTTTCAGTCGCCTCTGCAATGTCTCCCCATAATCCATCAGCCCCGCATCTCGCTCGTATTTACTGTGCGAGGAGTTATTGCTGTTGGACTTAGTGAGCTTAGTCCTGGGGAGCAATTGCCTGTTTTCAGCGCCGTCCGATAGCTCATCATTTGTCGAGTCATAATACTTCATCTTGTCCCTTTTATCAGCCTCTCCGTGACCCGATCGTCTGCTGTTTCTGTTATCTATATTGCGTTGCTCTACATCCGAGTCGATAGACTCATAGCTCGGTCGAGGTCGTCTCTCCTTCGAATTTTTGGCCGAATCTGCGAAATGACGACGTTTTTCTTGAGCGTTGCTCTCGCTGCGTTTGATTTGATTCTCGACATAATATCTGTCGCTATCCAGTCTCTCTTTCTCGCCATTTTCGTTGTTTTGAATTTCGATACCAAACGACTGGAACTTATTCAACTGTCTTTTATCGTGAAACTGGATGATCTCTTCACCGTCGGGGCTCCCCTTTCTCTCGGATGAACTTCGTTCAAGCCTCGCATTCCTCTCGTTTTTTTCGTTAACAATGTTCTTATTTGGACTGCCGCTGTCTTTATTCGGGGAGTATTTGCTAGTTTTGGATAGTTTTTCTAGTTTTTTTCCAAGCTCTGCGACATTTGGGAAATTGTTTTCGGTCTTTTTGACCTTTTGGTCATCCACGAGGATGCAGTCGTAGGGATCGTCGCTTGTCACATCAGAATCAGAATCAGACTCAGTGCCAGAGGAATTATTTGTGTACTGTTGAAGAATATTTTTTCTGTTCACCGTTTTCAACATCAGACCGTCACCGTCGTCATCGTAGAATTGGTCGTCGAACTTGTCAGGCTTCACAGGTGTTTTGTAGGTATCTTCAAAGTCTATTATTTTTTCAGTGGACAATTTTTTCGTTTCTGGAGTCGCTTTCTGTTTGTCGATGAAGCTCTTGTTATTCCTATCATCTCTTCTGACTTTGGTGTTTTCTGTTTGTTTTTCCGCAATGCCGTTTTCTTTGTTGTTATTGTTTATTGTTCTATCAGAATCGTTAGACTTATCGCGACTGCGCCTTGTAGGCCTTTCTTGAATCTTGGCTGTTTTGATAATCTTCCTTTTACTTTTATTATTATCAACATCAACTAAATCCCTATGGCGCCAAAGGGACATGCCTTCTAATATGTCGTTATCTGCACCACTTTTACCAAATTTCCAGAATGATTTCGTTCTTTTCACCAACTTTTTGTTTTCTTTCGACGCTAAATCAGTGTTTTCAGAAATATTGGAGCGATTGTTCACCAAGTTTCCATGACTCCTTGACTGTTTGATGGAATTAGATTTCTTCGGGTTTGGTAATGTCTTGTTGTTGTTTTCTTCATCGAGCTGCTTCAATATTCTTCTTCTACACGTGCAACAGAACAAAGTAAGACAATACAAAAGCACAGAAAAGAGATAGCGACAGCAAGGCATTTACTTCTTTGAAATTCTAACAGTCATTGAAGCTAGGTGTACTCTACAAGAAAGAAACATTTCGTGCAGTTCGAGTAAAAAACTACAATCGAAAGGATTCTATGAAATAAGTAAGTATTTGCATTCATCAGTAGTGCATATCTGAAGAAGATTTAAAAAATTTGCTTTTATATGGGTGCCTATCCAATGTTCCATCTCTGCTGCATGAAATGAAAAATCTAAAACATGAAATTAAAAATTATTTTAGTTTTCAGTGGGTAATGATTATATGAGGGGACTATTGATCGCATGGAAATTATAAATGAGAAAAATTTAAATATGAGGTGAATGTTTCTTTCAATAAAAACTCAATTTGAATATTTTTTGTTATCCTATTTCAATAGGTATTTTTCAAATGTTATTCTTACTCTCTGAAAGCTGTTAACAAAAAAAAACTTTTTTCACACAGCGTATCCCAAATTTTTCAAAAAGTGATATCTCCTTATAAAAAGAGTTGTAGAAAACTAAAATGCTTTTCTGATATTCAAACCATGCCGATAACAATCACGTTGCTGAGTCTTCCAAGAAAGCACCCCTTTTAGCAAATAGCTTTGCCAAAAATTGTACATCATATTATATTCCTCTGATTACTGGAAGTCGAAAATATTCCTATAAAAAAGTAATTATCTCTTCAGGACAATGAAAGGGGACAAAAAACATTCGGATGTATGTAAATTTAACTTTTTCAGTGTTAACACTCCCAGATGAAACGAAAACTAGACAGATTGAAACCGATAACAATTTTCCATACCGAAAATGTCGAAACAATACTAGATCACCAGTTTTTCTATACAGACTGACCAGTAGAAGCGTGTCACATCAAAGTTATTTTTTTCAAAAAAGTTTCCTCAATATAAAATCTAGAAATATTTTCAAAATATTTTTTTCACTATCTTATAGATATTATATTATGTTTCGAATACAAGATGAATAAAGATATTTTTTCTAATTTTCACAAATAGAACACCATATTTCTTCTCAAACATGTGAAGTCCTCGTGAAGAACACTTTCTCAGAATAGTATTATGTGTGTATCCCACTATCACTATCAAAAATATTCAAAACATTAAGTTTTTAGGGAATTGAGAATTATATATGACAATGATAATTTGTACAGAAGGCTCGATATCTAAAAACTGTTATTGAATACAAAAAACCCAATGAATATTACTGTTCATACTCTAAGGGATGAATCTTTATAAGGTTTATGCGTCATCGATCCTAAGGAGTCAGGTCAGTTAGTTTTCTAGGAATATAACATATATATTACCTTCCGAAAAAACTAAAAATAAACTGTTTTCGAGCTTTGAAACCCCCCTCCAATCCCTGTGAAGTCACTGTTCGATAGGTTCAAAAATAGCATATAAAACGTATAATAGCGTATAACTTGAGCATTCATATTCAAAATAGCAAAGACAAGAGTTTGGTGTGAGATAGATCAGGAGTTTATGAGATAGTGTGTAGTTCATGTCCAATGTTCCACATTGGTCAAACTAGAAGAAAATCGAAAGTACACATGAAAAAACATATCAACAGTTTTCAGGAAATGAATTCCATAATCATGAAGTCAAAACTCTTCATATGCCGGTAAGAATTTTGATATTCAAATTTTTTGAAGAGTATGGAAATGAATGAATTGAAACATTTCCAATATTTAATGAACGACCAATTATATTTGATCGACTCGCCTGTGCTGAACATGTTCTTACCGAATAATCGTACTCAGTTCTTCTAGAATAATGTGATGTGCATTATTCTCAGATTTTAGCTTTTCAACCAGTGTATTGAGAATATATCCGGTCTTGAATTCGTAGGTAGTAGATAAAATTTCCAGAGTATGAAATACTTATAATTGAAAGTAAGTTTTTCTTCATGTGAAAACTACTGCCTAACGAAACAACTGTCGTAGTTTTTTGAATTTAAAATCTCAGAGTGAACAATATCAGTATGATTAGAAATGGATTTCTATAAAATATCAAATAGTTTCAATCAACTTATGAGAAACTAAACTATTATTGTTAATAAACTGTTATTGAAAATAATGTAAATTGGTTTACGCGTGTTGGTTACAACCATCAAACTGCTAGGTAGTTACTCACAAACTCTGTATTTTAGAAAGTGATCTTCAATGGGAAATTACATGTAGAATATGAAAGAAACGAATTTTTTTACCTATTGGTTAATTGATATCTGAATGTACAAAACAATTTTGGATATTTTCATCCCTTCACTTCAAATTTCTGATGGAAGCTGTACTCAACACACACTGTATAACTATGGATAAGAAATAATGAAAAAGAAACTTTCAAAACAAGCTTTTATTTAAGTGCCCTAAAAAGATCAAAATAAAATTTTAAATTACATTAACCACATTCATTTATGACTTCACAGATTTAAAATTATAATAAAAGCTTGTCGCGATGCCTAGAAGAAATCTCTACATATTCAGACAGATGAAATTTAAATTAAGAAACATTCTGATAGATCAACTAGGTACTGCGGTAAATTTGAAACCTGATAAATTCTATTAACGGAAAAACAGAATTCAAACAGATTTAAACAGTTATCGATCAATACGGAAGTCCATCTATAAAACGGAGAGTTCTTCAACAGAAAAACTTTAGGAACGGGGAAAACTATTATTAGGATAAACTATATTCTATAGAAGTACGTAGGTACCTACTCCTCCGGCATACCTTATAGAAGAATTTCATGGTGGGCCTACCAACTGCCTATCATAAACGAATGCGTATACTGTGCTATTTACCGCCCTGGAGATCTTTCGTACGGAGCCGATCCTGGCAGTAGGATCAGGTCACGTTTATGATTAACGTGCATTGTCATCGGTTCTGGATCAGCATGCAAAATTTCAGGTCAATCGGATACCGGGAAGTGGACATACATACAAGTCAAAGTAAATAAAAGCTTTTGAAAACAAGGAACTTCATCAAGCTCGTTTATGTGATATGACTTAGATTTCTTTCTATAGTAAAGTATGCGTTCAGTAGATATCTTAAATCGGATTCGGCGAACTCGTGTGGAATCACATGAAGCTCGCTCGAACATATTTTATGAAGTGTGCAATATAAATGTATAACGTAACTTGTGCACATCAAAGTCTCAAGCTTCATATAAATTCAAATACTGACAATTTTACACAGGAGTATTGCCAGTGACATGAAGAGTGGAATTCAATGCAGGCGTGATTTCTTGGAATGCACAGTTTCAATTTCATTTTGATTTTTCCTTTCTGAAACCGTATATTGATGAACACTAATTTAAGATAATTCAAACATATGCATTTGATATTTTTATGATCATCATGGATTATTGAAAAGTTCAAAACAAATAATTTTCCCGATCATCAGAACCGCATTACTCTTCTCGACACGCGTTTCAGGAGATGAAGAGTATGGCGATTCTCGTGAATAGGAAAAGTGTTCGTTTTGGAATAATTTTAGGCCTCTTATTATTAAAAAGTCAGTGAAATGTTTCCGAAAGTATAATACTCAAATAAATTAATTCGAAAGTGACAGCTGATTAACGGAAAAACAGATTTTAAACAGATTTTTTTAGACAGATTCATGTCTCTGCTTTTCTACAGGATATAATATGGCAAATGCGTATCGATTTTTCTCAGGCTGATACCTGAACAGGTATTCACAAGATATTTATGCAATTTTCAGAACAAAGAAAATGCTTGTAGGTGATATTGTCCACCTGCAGTAATTTATGAAATCATTATCATAAACAAATTTCGATTGCAAATGAATTTTGTCGACAATGTATATACAATGGTGACAATAAGTCAATAGTGTACATTTTCAAACAGTACAGTGGTAACAATGAAGTTCAAATCACATAGATCTTATTATCGATCATTTCATTCGAAATTTGATATCAGCATCAATCTTCGATAGGGATGAAATATAACAAACCTTAATTTTTTCCCATAGAAAAAAAAACAGAAAATGTTATTTCCCGAAATATCGAACGGGGGTTGATTGCATTTTCTCTTTCAGCCCATATTCAAATTTCAGCTAGGTTCTTGAGATAATTTTCATTTCTTGTACATTATTGTACATTTCACCACTTTTGCAGAAAAACACTCTATGCAATATTTATGAAATATTTCAGTTTTGAGACATATTCTTCAAAATATTGCTATTCCATGAAATATCATTTTCGAAAAAAGAATACATTTGAATTTAATAAAAATCAATGTTCTACTTGAAGGTGAATGAGGTGAATGTTCAAATTTCGTAGGCTACATACATTTTATTAGCGATTTTTCATTGTTTTATGTTGGTATACCCGTTGCATGATCAGGTTGTTGGTGAGAAGCATAAAAATTATGAGAGTCCTGCATGTTTGGCTATCTAAAAAAAAATGGATCAAAGAATTTGCATCAAACTCTGTGGAAAAAATGAGATTGAATGCTCGGAAATGTAGACAGTGGCATATGGTGATTGTACTCTCTCTGAGTTAGGAAGATGTGAATGACGACGCACACCCTGGACGCCTCAACACATATCAGTTGGTTTATACCATGCAGTTTTTTTTTAAATTTCAGAAATGAAGCGGGTAGCAGTGACGTTTATCAAAAAAAACCGTCGCATAGCGGTGGCTATTCTTTCCTGAGCAATGGCTCAGGAATCGTTGAATGACATAAATGGTGATCTAGATTTGTCTAAGAGGGTCATAATTGGTGAAGATTTCTGGGTATTTGGTTATGACATCGAAACTAAATTCCAATCATCCCAATGACAGAGAGCCAAGACAAAAACAAGCACGCCAAGTTCAATCAAATATCAAGGTTTTCTTCACTGTTTTCTTCGATTACCGTGACGTAGTATATCAGCTCTTGTCAAATCGTCATACTGTCAATTAATAGTATTGTCTTGGAGTTATATGAGCTGATTGCAAGAAGCAATGTCTAGAAAACTTTCGGTATTGTAGAAAAACAGGTCTTGGCTTCTGCATCACGATGATACAACTGCTAATCAAGCCTCAGCAACCGTATTCACTGCAACTTTTTTCTGTTCCCTATAATGAAAAGACCCATGGAAAGAAGACGTTTCGCGACGGTTACTTTGACTATTGAAAAAACACTGGGACCATTGGATTATATCTGAGGAGGACTACTTTTGAGGGGACAAAATAGAAATTGACGGATAAATAAATTCCTTTGAGGAAAATTGAAATTCACCTTATTTTTTGAATAGACAGCGTATATTGTCAGAAATGAAACTTCGCATTTTGATAGCACTATTTGGATCTGTACAAAAACTCAGACTCAAATTATATTACTCCAGAGGAAATATGTCTGGCGTACAGCATTGCGAAAGCGGTACAATAGTAGTGCACTTTACAAAAGAACGGTCAAATGAATAAAAATGTCCCGAGTAACTGAAATTTTGTATATGGGCTGAAAATTGCTTCTAGAACAATTGTTTTATATTTTTGGTGTTTTGAAAAATAATCCTACGTTTGAACTTTTTTTTCAATAAATAGACACTGTACTTCGACAGAAGTAAAAAGTGATGTCAGTGAAATTTTTAATGAAGCTATCAATTGAAAAAATCCCCTAGTATGCGAATTTTGCTAGTTACACTGTACAAGTATATTTCAAATTGAAATGGCTTACTGAACTAGGCAGTCGTTTTCTTCAACTTTGATAAATTATCTGAAAGTATATTATTCACTCTCACATGAATTATTTTTATAGTGACTGAAAAACACTTCATTTACTATTTTCCATGCGACCGAAACACAAAACTGTCCTGTCCTGCATAAAAGCCCAATTTCAGAGCCATATATCGGACGAAAACATTGCGAGGGTTCAATCAGTCGTAAAGGTGGATGAGAGTCAACCGGCCCGGAAGAAAATTGCTATCCAGATTACATCACAGCTAAACGCAATGTAGTGAAGTAAACTGCCTAACTGCAAATCGCTATCCCACACATGCATTGGAACAACACAAATTGGACTAGGAACTCAGCGTGTTGAATGATTGCAAATTTCATTGGATCCAGATTTTTTTGTTAGTGGAGTTTTTTTGGAAGCTTATCCAGTTATCGAATTATTTAAATTACTGATAGACAAAGATTATAACCTCTTATGATCGGAGATAACTGTGTCTAAGGTATTCAACGGATTTGTGGGTCGTGGTCTCCAGGATCTTATGCCTGTCGATTCGTCTAAGACGTCGGACAGTCAAACCAGTTCAATAGTTACTCGGAACTAATCAGAATACTTCGTCCGTTGTTTCATTATCTTTGATGATGTCCACCGCAGTAGTAGATGGAAGGTATGGCAATAAAAACCTGCAGACAATAGACAACAGATTCGGAAAAAAGCTTCGACACAGTCATAACAAAAATTAATATCTGCTTCAGTTTCCATTGACACAGATATTATATCGATAGTATTTTTTTGGTTAGGAAAGTCAAGGTATTTCTTGATGAGTTGAAATAATTCAAGCAGTAGTTCAATTCAGATGAAGAGTCGAGGCGAAAGTAATTGATAATATGGTAACTGATTTCCTGAGTTTTGATAATAAACTGGCCAATTTTTGGAATGTTTGAACTAGAAACATCGTCTTTCAGATGAAGAGTCGAGGCGAAAGTAATTGATAAAATGGTAACTGATTTCCTGAGTTTTGATAATAAACTGACCAATTTTTGGAATGTTTGAACTAGAAACAGCGCCTTTTGATGATTTTATCTGATTTTTTTGAATGATGTTTGAAAAAAATCATTCATACTCAGCAAGGTACCTATCCACAAGTAAAATGATCTTCTAAAATACTCCATACTAAACCACTCCACTAGCTTTTCTCAAATAAACCTCAAAATAACACTGAAAATATCGGCCGCGAAAGCCTTAACCAATTTATCAAACCACAAATCATTGAAGAACCTCAGAAATGGGTTTCACAGATATATTCGGTACTGAGAAAATTGGAGATATCATTCACCTGGCTCTTTCTTTCGGTTATATACCGGCACTGTATGGGCAGACCATCACACGAAACAGCCTGAAGCCTCTAACTTTCAGTTAAAGGCTTAAACTGCGAGATTTTCCGAGATGAAGTACTAGAAATGATGTATCATATTCGAAAAATAACAAAAAAATATCAGAGGATTGCAGAAACTCTGAAATATGAAGCGAACAAGAATGTACCAGTTCCACTCAGGAAACGATAAAATGAAAGGTCTTTCAGAAATAAGGGCAGGTATCGAAAGACTGATTGAATTGAACTAGTTTCAATACCCAAAATAATGCATGAGGTCAACTGAAGGTCGTACCTTCATCAACAAGTTGAAGAATATATGAATCCCTTGAGTGTGAATGAAAATGGAATTTTTCGAGACGTTGCTTCAACAGTAGAAAAATTGCAGATTGATTTGGAAACTGCTAAAGCCTCATAATATACGAAGGGATCAATCAATCGTAGTAGCAAAGCAAGATGCTCTTGTAACAAGGAAGAGCAGCCCATAAGAACAAAACCATTGCGTTCAGGGAATAGACAACAAATCACCAACGCTTCAGAAGAAGGTACGGTGTCGCAACACTAGAGAGAATACATGTCTTTCAGAAATGGATTCTACTAATGAAAGAACTGATACCAAAATCTGAAGGAGACCCTTGGTAATTATGAGTACACCTAGGGTTCTCCTAAACAAGCGAACTGGAGAAAAAGTACTGATACAATAATGATAACAATTATTCAGGAGAATAGAGATGTGGCTTTCCATGATCTGGAATAAGTACCAAGTTTGTGGTCTGAAATAAATAAAGTGTGAAAATGTGACGGAATATATGACTGAACCATTCAAATTGATGAGTAGTTGGAAGTCAAATTGATTCACAACAATGAGTGTGTGAAAACAGGAATGATCAGGGATATAATTCAAAACAAGTCTTGAAATAATTCCCTCTGATGATATCAAAGGACAAAAATCTATGAGTACTCTGAGAACAGATAATACCATTAGAAATGCCACTGACGATAATAACGAGATCCTACTCCAGTGATGAGGAGTGAGGTATATTTACAGTTGACAGAACAGATATTTGTCTCAGATAGATCATCATTGAAATTTTTGAACTTTCAATGATTCAGCCTTTACAAAACACGTTCTACGTGAAGAATTTGAAGCATCTTTAAAAATCTTTGAAAATATCGAAGTCACACAACGGGATCAACTCATCAGTTTTGAAGCAGTTAGTTTTCATTTGGATGCTGAAGTCGAAGAAGTAGTTCAGATAAACCCTTAGTCTTTGCCAAACAGAAATTGAATACCTGGATGACAAGAAGATTAATGGACTTCTTGCATAATCTCTCAGGATTGGCTCACTCTAAGGCGTTTATTCACCCCTCGAAGCTTGATACCAAACAGTTGTTGGACTACAGTGGGGATGAACTACGATGTCTAACAGGTCTTCTTACAGGTCACTGTCATTTGAATTGTTATATGCAGAGACTCGGACTGTCGGAAGACAGTGTGTCTCGCCTCTGTTTGGAAAATGATGAAACAGCAGAGCAAATATTTTGTGCCAGCCCCGCTGGGAACCGAATCAGGTTTTTAGAGTTCGGCAGAGCCGTACTCTTACCATATGACCTGAAAGACAACTCACCATACAAACTAATGGGCTTCGTTGAGAAACTGTGTTTATTTGGTCGAGTGTGAATAGGTGCGAGCCACAAAAAACCCTTGCGGGTTGCGGTGGAGAGTCGAATAGACCCACTCACTTTGGACCTAACCTAACCTAAACAAAAGAAAGTAACGAGAAATGCAATACAAAGTAAACTGTAGAAGAAATTGAAGATTTACTGATATATCAGAATTGGTATCGGGTAATGTCTACTGGTAATGTCTACTGTCTTCAATCATAGTCATCTTATTATTCCCATGTGATGATTTTTCTACTCCGGATTTCCAATCTGTCATTCTTTTCAAACTATGAAAGTCCGAAATGATTACTACCTAATGGTTCTATCAAGCAAATTTTATTTCATCAACCACAGAGAATATTATTCGGATCTGGTATTTGTTACCAAGTCATCAACCAAAAAGATGAGATTATGAATTGCTGCTGCTACTTGATTGCATATCGAAATTATACTAGAATAAGTTGTAGCCTCGGTCTAAATAGATCAAACTTTTTTGCAGCTGTAATATTTGTCGCCAACAAAATTGTTGATCTCGTATATCTGAATAAAGGTTATTTCCTCCCGACCGGGATATTTCGCAATCTTCGTTCGATGTGATTTCGTATCTGATCCAGGGAAATTTGCATCCACCCCTAAAAGTAACCGCCGTGCACACAACTTACCGGCTGGGTAATTTCGTGTGTCCAGGAATTGAATCGTCGTCGGAATAATCAATTTCCGGCTGTGGCGGAGGTTCATTAGAGAAGCCCGAGTCGTTGCTGCTGTGGAGAGACACATTACCGACTGGACCGCCTGTAAAGAAAATGTTTTAAACATTATCGCTACGTAGAGGGGTAGTTTCTGTGTAGTTGTTTATTGACACTGCGTACATATTATTTACTCTGAAAATATCTCAACATAGTCAGTATAGGTTTCTGGCATTCAATGATACCAGAAAGAATGAAAATACCAAATCCCCAAAACAATAAAAAAACAAATTAAAAACATTTTTTATAGAAAATCAATCCTCTTCATTAAATATTTTTTTCATGAATTATTTTTGATTATCTGGAACTAAGTTCTGAACTCCCTGGATATGAACAAATTTGTTTTTTTGGAATTAATGAAGGAATAGTAGTCGTGGATTTTCAGAATTTCTTCCTGAGATTTCGCTGTCGCGAGCTGCTAGCTTCTTCAGAGGTTTATACATTCTGGATTACTATCCGATGACTGGAAATTGCGGTTTCGTAACGCGTATTAATGCTGTGTCAGGTAGTTTGGAGTGCTAATACCTATAACTAAATTAAGTAATTTGTCGTTAGCATTCATTGACTCTTCTCTACCTGCTGTCATGCTGTTTGCTCTCCTTCAAATTCTCAGAATGTGACTTCATACTTGATTGAAGTTTACCGCTTCTTCTTTTCTGTTGATGTTATCTGTGTATTTGTGTATCTCTATTGCCTCCTGTGCAAGTCGACTATGGTATCCTTTGTCGGGGGCAATTAGTTCTAGGTTTTCAAATAGAATCCTAAGATTTCCTTCATTGAGTGCGTATTCTGTTACAGCTGACTTGTTTGTTCGACCCAGTCTGCAGTTTCTTCCATTCTCCTTCAGCCTTGTTCTCATGAATCTTTTGGTGATTCCGATATATACCTTTCCACAAGTGCACAGTATGCGATAGACCCTTGTTGCTGATAGTGGGTCTCTTTTGTGTTTTACCGACTTGAGGCTTTCTTGTATCTTCCTGGTGGGTTTAAGAACTGTTTTAATGTCTTGTTTCCATAAAACTTTTCCAATTATATCTGTGACCCTAGGGATAAACGGTAGATACGCGCGTGCTCCTTCTCCCCGTTTTGAACCGTATGTCTCTTCAGTTTCATGGTTTTGTTAATCTCGGGTTCACTGTATCCACTTGATCTCAAGGTCATTCGAAGGAGTTCTTCATCTAGATGCCCTGATTCACAAATTCTTCTAGCCCATTCCGTTAGAGTGGAGATGACTCCTGTCTTATGGCTAGGATGGTGTTTCGATAGTGCGTGCAAGGTACCCATCCGTGTGCGTGGGTTTTCGGTACACTTTATGGATTAGTCTAGCATCACATCGTTCGACAAGGAACGCTAACTGCTGATCTTGCTCAGTCTCTATGACGAACTTGATGCTTGGGTGTTGAACGTTCAAATAGTTCAGGAAAAGGTTCAGAGCATCTTTTCCATATTTTCAGATAACGAAGGTGTCATCCACGTAATGTAGCCATGCAATTGAAACAGTTTTTGAATCCACCAGGAACATGCAAAGAAGCCTAAGATCGGCAAAAGACAAAAGGATCCCACTATTAGCAGCATGGGTCCATCGCATACCGTGTACTTCTGGGAAGGTATATATCGAAACCATCAAAAGATCCATGTAAAGAAGGCTGAAGGAGCATGAAAGAAACTATAGACAAGTCAGCTCTGACAGAAAACGCAATCAGTGAATAAAACCACATGATTCTGTTTGAAAAGACAGAACTTATTGACCCCAACCAGGGATATCATAGCCGACTGGTACAGGAGGCAATAGAGATCCACAAATACACGAATAATCTCAATAGAAAAGAAGAAGCGGTGAAGCTCGATCAAATATGGAATCCTTCTCTGAGAACTTCCAGGATAGCGAACAGCATGACAGCAGATAGAAAAGAGCCAATGAATGTTAACGTCAAATCACCTAATCCTGGTATAGGTATTAGCACACCAAACTATCTGACGCAGCATCAATACGTGTTATAATGTATGAACCTAGCTTCTTCAGAAACCTAGCCACTCGCGCCAGCAAAAATTCAGGAAGGAATCTAAAAATCCACGGATTTCGAACCCGAAAAATAATGTCACTAAAAACCTGGACCGCGAAAACCTCAACCATTTTGTCATTATGAATAACAAAAAAAAATTATAACAAAAATAGGTCAAGTGTTACCGCTGGAAAAGTAAATTAGTATCATTTCCTACATATTGCCTGATTTTTGTTTTAATTGGCTGATTTTTGTTACAATTGGCTACATCAATAGTGACAGAAAAACAAGGGAGCAGAAAATGAAAGGTTTATTTTCAACAAGTTTTTTAAGAATTACTAGATTAAATGAAGCTATATGAACATATATTCTTCGATGTTGAATAGTATTATGCAGCGCTCGAGAGTATCCTACTTTCGAACCCGAGAGAAAGATTATTATGTTACGTGACTGACATATATCAATTTAGCGAATAATAAACTTTCATTTTTTTCAAAAACTACACCTCACGATTTGATCTCCACAAACTTCGTTTGAAAAATATATCACAACATGTTTCGCTAGCACAGTAGCTTTGTCAAGTGATTTGAATACTTCCAGTTGGAAGCAATGGAAAATTCTGATGAATGACCAATTAGATTTGAATAGATCACCATTATTGAACTTGTTTTATAAAAAACCAAGAAAGAATTATGATTGATGTAGATGTGAGGTAATATGCTTCAGGTGATCATAATTGAACAGGTACCTTAGGTAGAGGTTTAGATAATTTTTTGAAGGTAGTCTAAATTATGGTTACCTGTAATATATAAATATTAATGTAAGAACAATTCGAAGTATTCAAATCACTTGACAAAGCCATTTTTTGAAGGTAGTCTAAATTATGGTTACCTGTAATATATAAATATTAATGTAAGAACAATTCGAAGTATTCAAATCACTTGACAAAGCCATTTTTTGAAGGTAGTCTAAATTATGGTTACCTGTAATATATAAATATTAATGTAAGAACAATTCGAAGTATTCAAATCACTTGACAAAGCCACTGTGCTAGCGAAACATGTAATATATTTTTCTAATGAAGTTTGTGGAGTTCAAATCGTGAGGTGTAGTTTTTGAAATTACTATAGATTTTCATCAAGTAACGGCCGAATCAATCAGAAAAATAAACTTTCATATGGCCTTTATCAAACTCAGACAAATCTCAATAGCATTCAAATTGAATAATACTGGAGTTTTTTCCCAACACCAAATCGTTATTTTTACACCTCGACACGTGTCTCTTCAAGAGGAAAATGATCACTTGGTGATCGAAACACGTGTCGAGGTGTAAAAATAACGATTTGGTGTTGGGAAAAAACTCACCAAGTGATCATCTTCCTCTTGAAGATGATCACTTGGTGATCGAAACACGTGTCGAGGTGTAAAAAAAACGGTTTGGTGTTGGGAAAAAACTCCAGTAATATTCATTACTACACCAAAGCTTCCAAACAGTATATTACAAGTAGCATTCAAATTGTTATTGATGATTGATTGATTTCACGATATTTGTTTGGATTTATATTGGGTTCATTAGGAACATTGCTGAATGGGAAGGTGAGGTAGGTCATCTCAGAGTCATCTCAACTATTACACATAAAAGTTCCCTATAAAAGTATTAATACAATAAATTCTCAAATCCCTCCAGGGGAAAGTTCAAAGTTTTTGTGGTCGGATATGTCTGAAATTGGTTATTCAGCTTTCCTGTGTGTCATAATTTTCAATACTCACCAATTTTACCGCCCTTGGTCTGCAAATGCAATGGCAGAGGGGCTACTGCCGTGGGCCGGTCGGATCGGGACGGTGCAGGATGGGTGGAGTAGGCTCCGCTAGGTGGCGCAGAAAAGTTGTAGGTCGATGCTGATGATTTTATTCCCGTGGTTGAGTACGGAGACTGGAAGGTGGACGTGTCCATGTTGTTTTTCGATGAAAACGATGTGCTGTGAGATTGCGTGAGACCAGTCTTAGAATGAGGCAGTGACGGAGTGGGAACTGGTGCTGGAAGGGCTGGCGGCGGAATGTTGTTAGAACCTATCGCTCGCCGAATCTAAAAAAAATATTTTGTGACTCATCAGAGTTTATTTCAGTGGCTTGTTGAAATATCACACGATCTGTTGAATAGTCTAGTGAGAGGTTTAATTCGTTAAAAATTGTGTTATTCAATAATTATACAAATTTTTCCAAGCAGAACGTGAGTGTATAATAATTTGATGAAATCCCAAGATTATAGGTCAAATAAATGCTACAAAGTTCTCAAATATTTTATCGTTTTTCTGAGAGAAATAATTGAGAATAATAAAGTACGCTTGGTAATTAGTAAGCCAACTCTGCATCATATTTGAAATTAATGAAAATAGGATGATATTATAGATTTGACAATTCTTTTGGAATCATTGTATTCTGTAACAGTTAACTTAGTTCATTATACGAGCAAAGTGACTCAATCCTAAAAAAATATATTTTATGATTCTTTATAGTTTATTCTTCTACATGAAGGCAAATGAAAATTACTGAACTTGGTGGGATTTTGAATCGCTTGAATGTTGTTCCTTCCACTTAAATTTTCACATATATCATTTTTCAATCATCGCAGTTTGGACAGTATATGATGCGCTCCGTTTGTGCTGAAACTTCTTCAGATTTTCACATGTTTTTTTGGATAAGTTTTTAGTGAGTTTTTTCCAATAACATAGATATTTATATATTTCCGCTAATGCACAGAATATTTCATATTAGGCTATGACATAACTGCAATATTGACCGACTGAAATCTCAAAGAGAGTTGTTTTTCGTGAATTATTTTCTCTAAACTGATGTGCTAGCCCAGCACAAATTGAGTGGTGGCAGAAATTCAGAAACATATCAAAAGTTCTTGTTATCTTTTGGCATGCAACCTTCCATATTCAATGGAATGCAAATTGAAACGTTTATTCCCAATAGTTAATTAAAACGATGTGAAATTTAAACTACTGAAGTGTCCAATCTGTTAGCATTGTATTTTCTCACTTCGTTCTTCAACTACGAAACTGTTAACTGATAATCATTTGAAATTTCAATAAATTTTTTTTTCCTTCATTATAAGAACGGATAAGTAACATCCGGAGAGTGCATGCATGCAGATAATTTTATTGTTTGGATATTTCATCAGTATCATTTTCGTTGAATGGATGCGGTGTAATGGATTATTTTCCACTTGTTCAGAAACACACATCAATACCACATACTTATGGAGTTGGAGCCATTGGAGTTGATTGTACAATTACTTTCTGCTAGACTTCTATCGATATTATAATCAGTAACTTTTTTGCTGACGAAATCAATAAACCTATTTTTATTTCTATATACAGTTCCGACGTAAATACTATGATCGAGCAGATACCTGTAATGTAAATTTCTGTCCACATAGTACATTCTAACTTCTATACTGATTGATTTTTAAGATATTTATATACTGAAAGTTACTGTTCATCATCTATTTTACAGTTTCATGGTTTCCAATTCAGTATTCAGATTTTTTATTTACAATTATTGCATTTGTATGAAATAGAAATTATTTCTACGAAATTGTACAATTTTGCTAACTGAAATTTCATCTGAAGCTTTTTTTGTTTCGTAAAATATTTTTCCAATTTTTGCAGTATCGTTAACAGTTTTGCAAGAGGAAGTAATCAGTTAATGAATATTGGAGTGATATTGTCTTGAATGAAATATTTCAATGTGATGAACTGATATCATGAAAAAGTGAAAATAAATTATGTTGAAAGTAATATATTTTATGGTAGAGAAAGTTTTTGGCTTTCTACTACTCCATCTGATACAAAAAAATGGATTTCTTTCCCAAAAAATTAATCACTCCTAAAAATATAACCCCTTCAATTCTAATATATTTTAATATTATGAAAGTTGACGGATAATTTGCAAACTCATTATTGATGGTGAATAAGCATACCAAACTAAAATTTATTTTGCTTTGGTGTATAGTTATTAGCAGTCTGTACAAAAATTATGTTCCATGATATACAATATCTGAAATTACTTACCAAAGAAAGGCATGTCAAGTTCAAATTATTTTCATCTTGAATAGTAACAGATTTTTCTTGACATTTCACTTGTTCTATTTTTAGAGTTATCCTTGACATACCTCCAAAACTTAGAGCTGATTCATTCACCAAACTTTTTCTTTCACATATTTTACTTTCATTTTGAAATCGTTGTCACAATGTTACAAGAGCGTTCATACGCATCACTTCTATTTCTACTTTTTCTTCCACATAGATAATAGTTCTGTAGGTGAGTACTTTCTCTCATATAATTTTTTTTAATGGAGAAACACAAGCACTACAGAAAAATCTTCAAAGCGCTCTCAAAGCGGTGCTTATGCGAAAGTAGTGATTCACATTGGATTTGAATCGCTGTAGATCAGATCCATTTGGAAAAACGTTCCCAGGAAGTTTTTTCCACATAAACGCCGTTCTCCAAATGAAAGAATTCTTGGACAGTGAACTTCGAGGTGTACTGAGTTGAACCTCGAAACGATGAGCAGCCACTGGATACAAATCTAGCACAATACATAGACATTAGTTGTCCTTTCATCTTCTGACAAAACAAATTCCAGTCAGTTTATGATTAGATCAAGGAGACTAAGAAAACGTTCTACTGAAAATCATGAATTTCTGAGAGAGCATCAATCTTTTTTTCTGGAAATAGGTCACCAGAAGTGTTCTCTGAACAACATGATGCATGTAACTATAGAAAATATGAAGTATGAATAGTATTTTGTTCAAACTTTTTTCCTGAGGTTTTCCACAGAATCTCAAAGCCCCAAAGAGGCTGTTATTCAGATATTTTTTGAACAAAAGATAACTGCAGAGTCAAGTTATAATTTTCCATACCAAATAACGAAAGTATAGAGGATATTTCAGTGCTGTCATCACATAAATGATATTCTTTCTCAGTTTTTCTTTTGGACTCAAAACATTTGCTATTTTTGTTTGTTTTATATCTAATCAAACTGGAATGTATTAGAGTCACCACCATCGATCATGATCCACTTTGTTCAGAAATAGTGTACGAATGACCTGATTTATCAAATTTGAATCCTTATTTTTTCCAGTAAAGAACCGAATCTAATGAAACAAATTGCGATCGACAATGGTTATTATATCAATCAAATAGATTCTCTACTCTCCACATTGGTATACTTGGTATAAATATATGCGTGGTATATGCGCGATGTCACAGAAATAAACTTATTTTGAACCATGGAAAAACGGTTTTATGAATTTTAGCCTCAGGAGACCATTAACACCCGGCTGTAATTTTGTTATATCAAGATTCCTTGGTACCTTTATAGACAGCAAGTTAACATGGGAACCACACATTGACCACATCTGCAAGCTGCTTAATAAAGCTTTTTTTGCCATTTTACAGCGTAAAGACACAATTGCCAAACAGAGTCTTTTAAGTGTGTACTATGCTTCAGCTTATTCACATATTTCATTGAATATATTAACCATTGGCGTGAAGTTATGCACAGATTTCTGGCCACACATGCCGACGTAGAGGAAAATAAAAATCTGTGGTTGGGATACAAAATTATTAGCACCCGTACTAATATCTGTGGCTGGAAATACCTATTCACT